TTATATAAACACTTTATAAAAACAAAACATAATTTAATGTACAGTGTTCATTTTCGTACATAAATGTTGCCCTTATGAGGCTTGTGAAGTTAAATCTGTGTTTTGTATGGTCCAATATTGTGTCACAAACCTAATCAAATATACCAGTTTAATAATGGAGAAGCTATTAGCTTTATGTTTTTTTTCATATAAAAACTACTTATTTTCTGACAATGTGTTTATTTAAGAGCAACTATGCAAATTAACAAACATCTAAAAAAAAGTAGACTATATTCTATTATTTTCCATGTGAAGCCCAGATTGTTTATTCTTCTTTGTCTTTTCTAAAAAGTGCTTTAAATCAGTCCTTCCTGTCTTTATCCATGCTGGGTCAGATCCTGAAAAAGGAGGCAGGGAAAGTAGAATAGAGTGTTAGCCTCACTGCATGCAGTTAGCCAAGCCTTGGAGCTAAACCAGATCCTGGAAAAAGGCAGAGTGAACCATCTCCATCTGTCTTTTGGACTACTGATTAATTTTGATGTTCAGCTGATCAGGTCCAAACGGTTTCACCTCCCGCTTCTCTTGGCAAGATTGCTTTAAGGGACTTCCCTCCCGCGACTCAACCTGTCAATCAGCTGCACTACGACAGTGACGACAGTTCCTGTCACCTCGGGGAGCAGCTCTCCAATCCTTTAGCATTGCAGAGGAGCTACTGCGCATGGGCAACTTTTAACCAATGAGTTTACTTTTACCCAGAGAGCCAATGGGCAAAGATTTTTGCTCCCCAGGGCGGAAATACGTCACAAATTCAACAATGAACCAAACAGCTTCACTCCTCATTAAAGATTAAATATTTATCTTGCACATATAAAATATTTACATTTTATACTCTTTAAATATAATTTTTATAGATTTTTTTGTCTAAAATAAGGTCATTGGGTGGGCCGGATGATGCCCTAGCACCTTTTATTAACCAACCATATTAACCAACCACCACTGATTGAAAATCATTCCTCCACCTCAGGCCCATGCTGGTCCAGTGGCTTAAGGGTAGGAAGCAGATATTTTAGATTTCTGCCCAATATTGAAGCGTGGCCTGCGGTATGTTATTCCACGCCACAACGCAAGAGGGACAATCAGGAACTAGCTATGGGTCTAGATACGGCCGAGGCGGTGAGGAAGTGGGGGCAAGTTTGTGCGACAACGGAGGGACATGAGGGCGAAAAAGAGCAGAGATCCAGGTGGAAAAAGGCTCCCAGCGTTCCCACGCAGCTCGCTCCTCTAGCTGGTCCATCTTCACGAGTCATTTTCCACAATGGCGGTTATACATAGAAAATAAGTCAGTAAAGTACCAAACAGAAAAATACGCATAGAGTAGAGCGGATGTAGATTTGACCAATCAGAGGCCTCCTGTCTGCGGTCACCTACAATTTTGGAGAGATGCAGCAGAGTGTCTGAGAAAGGAGTGGGGGAGCATATCTACGTTAACTGCGACACACGCAGACGACCTGGTTTCTGAGTATAAATCAGCCTTAAGTCAGTTAATAAACCTGACAATCTTCCCTGAGNGATGGATGGATGGATCCATTCATAACACAACCCAAAACCCAGAGAGTCAATGACTTGGCTCGAGTTTGATTCGAGTTGCCAGATTTGTGACTTGCTTGATCAAAATTAACAAAAGACTTGACTTTGACTTGCCCTTCCTGACCTCTGAATTGACTTCACTTGAATCATGGGACTTGCCAACTCACTGCAATCATGTTCATTGTATAATTATATTATTAGCAAATAAACAATGAGGCAATCATTGCTTTATTTTGAGTGCTCCTGACCTGAAGCATATCAGCAAACCTGATAACCAATCTTCCACGCAAAGTACAGTGGGGAAAACCTACATCAGTACAATGAGTGATGATCAGTAAAGAGTCTGACTCTTTTTTTCCTTCGATCCCTTTCACGTTTCCTCTTTTTAGCCTGCTCAGAAGGTTTAAACTTTTTCCTTGCCTCAGTATTGACCAGTAGTCGAGAAGGCGGGAAAAAAAGTAGAGCAAAAGCCTCCTCTCCATGACAATATAAGACGGTTAATCTTCTCCCAACTTACATAGTTGGTATTTGAAGAGGGGAGCCCCGCTGTAGCATTGATAGTGTCAAGCTCTGGATATTGGCCTGAGGAATCATTTAAAAAACCTCGTATGCATTAACTCTATAGGTCACAAAGTCCGCGGTAGGCCTTTAAAAGAGCTGCTGTTGACTGTTGAAGTTAAACTGTTAACTGAGGTATCATTAGTTTAAAGATGTGATTAAACTGTTTTAATTGTTCTACTACATGCTTTTTGTCATGTTGCTTATATTCTGCTTTTATATTTTATTCTATTTTACTTTTTAGTTCATGTAAAGCACTTTGCATTGCTGTACTGAACTGTGCAATAGAAATTAAACCAGTGGCGGCTGGTGGAGTTTTCTCCAGTTATCACACCAGTATATTTATATGAATGCCAACAACAAAAAACATTATATAAACACTTTATAAAAACAAAACATAATTTAATGTACAGTGTTCATTTT